AACTTTTCACCGTGCACTTTTAAAAAAAGACAAAGGTAGAGTAGGAAGCACCCGTGAAAGGGCTGTGAAGACGGCTGCATCTTCAGATATCCATTCCAGATGCTGGCTAGACTTGGTGGAGCCAGGGCCCGCTGTACTGGGGGCTGGATTTAGTTGTCTATTCCTCCAGGTGTGATGCCTCATGCTGATTCCCCCACATGTTCCATGGGTGTTATCCAAACACGCTGGGGCCAGTGACAGCGCCGGTAGGCCTGCCCTCCATCCTGCCCGCCTTCCTCTCTCTCTGCCTCCCCTGGTGGCCCACCCACCCACAGTGCAACAGCAGTAACCAAACAGTCCTTTACCTGTCATCGGAGTTGCTGCTCTGAACGCCTGTCTGGCGCAAACCTGAGAAGCGCCTTCCTTTACTCTTTTATTTCACGCTTTCCCCACTCCTTCAGACCTCCGTCTCCTTCTTGGTTTGAACCCCTTTGATGACGGGTTATGTTCACACTGCTGCTCCACAGGCTCTGCTGCAGGCTGGGACAGGCCAGTTGTTGCTCTAGTAACTCAGTCATGCTCAACGGTGATGTAGGACGTATTAAACTTGTCATATTTCAAGCCTGGTCAGTTTTAGGACGAGACGGCATCAGGTAGTGTTAAGCGGTAAAAAAAAAAAAGAAGCAAAGTGGGGTGGAAAAAGAAAACAGAAGCTCTGCTGTTTTGTGTATCTGTTCCCCAGCTGAATGTTCGACGTCTGTTTCCATTAAAAGTGTGGGTGAGCAAACTTCAGTCTTTATCCCACTGTAAACTAGGCTGGCTAAAGGTCTTTCTTCTTGCAGTCGTATTTCACTGACTCCATTCTTCCACGACTAGATAAATGTTTCCCTTTAATGTACATGTATTCCACCTTCTCATAAAGTGTTTTTTTCCCCCCAGGGCAGGAACAGATAGATGCTGTCGGGGCAAACCTTATTAGCTAGCCCACACAAAATATGTTGTCTCATGGCTCGAGTTGGACGCTTTCCAGGTTTGGCATATCTGAGAATAACATATTTATGGGAACAAGAAACAGGCGTCATGTATTGAAACATGTTGGCCTTCGTTTCTTTGAGAGGAATGTGTCTTTGTTTATTAGTATTACAACAAATACTGAGCTGATTGATTGTTTCTTTCCGCTTGAAGTTATCAGTAAAAAAATATTTTAGAACTTATTTATTACTTCATTATGAAATTACAAATTAATTAAAAACATAGGCGTACATGCTGTTATTTTGAATAATGAAGTCAAACAGATTATAATGTATTTTCTATTTTCTATAGAAGCTCTAAAATGATATTAAATATTTTTAAGAATTAAATAACCACATATTAAGTCAGATCATACATAAACATGGGTTAGGCTAGTGTGTGTGTGTGTGTGTGTGTGTGTGTGTGTATTTGTGTGTCTACATGCCTGTGTGAGCAGACTTGTGTTGTCATAACTTTGCTGAGATACTTTGAAACTCCCCATGAGCCAAAGCAATGTAAATGATTTCCTGATGTTTAAGCCATCATTGCTGTGATTAGACTCACAGGATCAAGATTTCAGCATATAAACTGCTTGGACGGTCCCCAGAGCTCATTACAAAACACACAGGCGATGGTAACACTTAACTCTTTTCAAATGTGCAGTGACAGAGTGACTGTGATGTGATTTTATTGTTTTTACAGTATAAGCACAACGTTTCTGTCCCTTCAACCGAATGACGGAGAACAAAACGCATCAAATACATGACGAGCCCAATGTAAACAACACAGTCATCTGTATCTTATCAAGTCATTTTCTCATCATGTCCAGCAGTTCATAATATTGTAATTTCCAGTTGAGGGTGATTAATATGTTGTGTCAAACTGAATCAATGTTTGGCAACTTTAGCCTAATATGATCTGTGCAACAAATGTCAGGAAGCTGTGGTTTGGTTTGGAAGCTGTAGTTCAGCTTAAACTCTTCATCACTGTCGTACTTCTCCTTCCTTCGTTAGGATGGCTTAAGGATTTGTTGTGTTGTTCTGCTGCACAGCAAGATAATGTTTAAAATAACAATTTTCTAAATGCCATTTGATTAACTAGAGAAAAGGCTGATATGATAATTTAACTGATAATTATTATTATAATGACATTGACTGATTGTCTTTTATATAAGATCCTCTTTGAACATATTTTACCATGCTGAAAATTCAAATCTCTCAGAAGTTGCCAGTCAAATTCTCAGCAGAGCAAAGTTATGCTTCCATCTCTGGGTTTTACTCATCAATAGGAGCCAATGATTTCCCACTATTAGTTCCAGGTGGGGCATCACTAGCAGTGGCGCAGAGCCCTCGAGCCACCTTGTCTCGTGACATCATTGCCATTCATCCATTTCGTCTCCTCTACTCCAGCTGGAGCTGGAGCTGGATATTGGACCTCGGTGAGGCCCCAGTGCTGGTATTAATTTCTTGGGCCTGTTGGCGTCCGTCCCCTGGCAGCCCAGCGCCAGCTCCAGTCTCAGCCTCAGCCTCAGCCCCAGCTCTGATTCCATCTCCATGTGAGAGTGTTACTGGAAAGCTGGCCAGTGGGATCTGGCTCTGATAATCATTTCAGGCTAAACCTGCCAGCATCTGTAGCAAAGCTTGCAGGAGATGGGCTATTAGCATTCAGATGGGACAGGCAAAAAAAAAGAATCGGTAATAAAATAAAAGAACACACATCTTGAAATCATACATCATCTTCAGAAAATTTTAAAATAAAAAAAACCTTTCTGTGGTCCATTTTTCTACAATATGGCCTTATAGATTAATACCGATATGGTGAGTGCTTTTCCGGAATTTCAGTGTGGTTTCCAAGATTTTGAGCAATTTCTATTTGTAAGGGAAAGTTTCCAATTGCAAACAGAGGGAATAGCTGGATAATAAAGTGGAACCTTTTCTACAGGAGATAAGGCACTGAAGTTCACAAGTCGTTTCATGTTTAATGCATTCACCACTTAAGCAATGTAAACTCATACACTGAGGAACACTTTTGGATAAATAAAAACACATTTGATGACCCATATGCAGTGTTCAAAGGTTGGAATGAAGCCTATGTACTGCAGCCACTTTGGATTATGTTACCATAAGACATGGATTCCAGGCAGAACTCTGTGTGGAGGTTTATTCCTTTCAAACAAGCTAATGAAAAACAAACTTGAGCATTTGCATCCCTATGTAGTCAGCAACCTTCAGTATTTCATTTTCACTTAAGGGGACATCTTTCTTGTTGCTGTTCTTTCCATGAGCCAGTTTTAAGGATTTGTCTTTGTCTCATTCTCTCTCCTTCTACTGAAAAAAGGCATGTCCTACTTCTCAAACTTATTTTAACCATAACGGCATACTTGCCGCATCTGCTAAAGATTGCTACGTGTGCCTTTGCGATGAAGTGTATATTACTTGAGATTGTGGGTCTGTGTGACTTGAGGTGGTCAGAAATTCTCACTGGGTCCCGCACAACCAGTCCTAGGATTCCGGTGGCTTCACGGGATGCCGCACAGTTTCCTAGGCTATTAGTGAATGTTTAACCTTGAGTCATCATGCGGGAAAAGTGTACCTTCCCTCTCTTTATTGAACCAAGATGCAGAATGATTAAACCTCATCTCAGACAATCATTATAACAAGGCGTACATGGACTGGAAAATCTTTTTTTTTTTCTTCGCCTCCTTTTCAAATGAACATTTTATGGGTGGCTGATTTACACATTTTCCTCAGCTAGATGTGTTGGCTCTTCTTAACGTCGAAGTCCACTGGGTTTTGGTTTTGGATAGATCAGCGGCCACTTTAACCCTCACAAGTATTTCATTCTGAAGAGCAGGGTTTGAAAACAAGACATGGGAAAGTGGTTAATTTATTCCCAAAACTTGAGAATCACACAAGAATAGTAGGGGCCAATTCTGTCAGTGTTGCATACTGTAATAGCAAAGCTCACTTGCAGTATTACAGCATCCTCCTTTTTGCATGCTACAGAAATAAACCATACATTAAATTTATTCTTTATTTTACTGAAGCTTTCTGTGCATGAACACTTCACCACATGACTTGCTGACCTACACTATGATGCCCATGCATCTCCTCCTTTCTGGACTAAGAACTCCTGAGAGGTTTCTCCAACAAGCTGTTGTCCCTTCTGTAAACACACGTACTGTAGAATACTGTGTGTCTGTGTGTGTTTGTGTGTGTTTGTGTGTGTGTGTGTGTGTGGATGGGGTTATTCAAAAGCTGTTCCACTCGCATGGCAACGCCTCATTACCCATACTGCCTCCTTCTTTGCCCCGAAGTGGGGTGCAGCTCCCCTCGCTGGGCCCAGTCGTCAAGGTGACCCAACATGCCCCAGGATGGCAGGCAGACAGGCAGGGAGAGAGGGGGCTGTTCACTCTGTCTTTATTGTACTGGGCCCACCGTATGCTAGCTGGTGCACTGGGCCCTGGGTAGTTCCAGACTGCCGCATGCGTCCCGGTGAGCAAGCAGCTGATCTCATTTTTCAACACACAGCTGCCCCAACATCAGGCCCAGGTGAAGGTGACCTCCCTTGCCTGTTGGAGTGCCTCTTAAAGTGGTGAGGTGCAGGCAATGCTGTGCCAAATCCAAAATACCTTAACTTCTGGTGATGTTTTGTTGTCATTTTGATTGTAGATCTTCAGTTCAGGGGTATTAAAATCACCATGTAAGTGTTGCTTTAACATCTACAATGTGCAGGACTTATAAAGACACTGTACAGCATTTTAACCTCTCTACTTTGCAACAACAGACAGATCAGACAAGCAACAAAATCACAGACAAGCATCTAACTGTATATCTCACCCTTTTATCTCTCCAGACATCCATCTCTATCTCTTGTTCTTTCTGACTTAATTTATCCATCCATCCATCTATCCATCCCCTCCTCTCATTTGCCTCTCTCTCTCTCCCTCCTCCATCCCTGTCTCCTCTTGTCACCCCCCCCCTTCCCCACCCTCCCCCACTCTAACACAGGACAGATTGGGAAGCCGTGATGGCGGCACAGAAGTTGAGGGAGAAGCTATTTATCCCAGACGGATCAGGAGGTGTGTGACGGAGGTGTGGACGGTTGCTGCAGGTCAGTGACGTTGGCAGGCGCCAGGCAGGCCGGCCCACATGGCTCGGGGACTGTGGGACTACAGACAGATGGCACCTGGTGGGTGACAAACAATTAACAAACCAACAAGAATAGCTGGATCGGCAGTATACCCACAAGCACAGGAGATAGCAAGAGAGCGGGTGCATCTGTGCTCTGAACACTTTCACTCTTTACTTTTCCTCTTCCCGAGTCTTGTTTTGTATAACAGTTGCAATTTACCCATGTGTCTTTTTCACAAAAACACTCTTGTTGTCGTGTCGCTATAGAACTGTCTAAATAAAGCAGTGTTGAGCATATGCAGTGAGCATATGTTTCTGTTTATTTCAGTGCAGTTTTGAGACACGCAGTGGGGTTATTTAAATGTAAAATACAATGAACCAACACATTTGATATCTACTTAAATGTTAAACAAAAGTTATAAGCAATCATATAAAGTTTCTTATAACAAAAGCATCACCTAGCATCGTTGAGCTGTGTTTGTGCATGCTTTTTTTGTAGAATTCTTGCTGCAAACTGATTCATTGTGTTTGTTTAAAAGTGAGCATGGTGGCTGATGGTATTTCACTGCCTAACTACATCCAAATGTCATCGTGATAGGGTGTTTCTGCACTCCACTCCCACTTACTGTACAGTGAAGATGTCCTCTGTTGGTCATAAACAAGAAAATCTGCAATTTTGTAAGTAGTATCTCTTTCAGAGTAGGAAAAGAAGGATTATTATTCATACCTAACTGAATGTAAGTAAACGGCTGTCATCTGGTTGAATTATTGCTTTGGACTGGCATTGGTCCTAGTGTGTGTGTGTGTGCGTGAACACATCTGGAGTCTAGACTCTGTGGCTCTGTGGGCAGGGTCCTATCTACGAGCAGCATCGGGTCCGGAGAACGGCCATGTTGACATAGGTGGCACACACATACCGGCATCTGTTTCAACAGTCAGTACTCTCACCAAATACCCTCCTTCCACACACACACAAACTTTTATCCTCCACTGAGGGATGGGAGGGGGGAAGAGGGGATGGAAAAGGGAGACAAAGCGGAGGTAGAGAGGGGGAGGCAGGGCTGAACCTGCAGAGGTCCCTAGTAACCAAAAGCTAATGCAACTCCTCAGAATCAGCACTGTAAATCCTCCAATCCCCCCCCCTTTTTCATTGCTGCATCAGGATATTAAGACATGGAGGGGAGGACAGCATGTGTATGTATGTGTGTTTGGCTAGTTGTGTGTGTATTTTTGTTCAAATGAGTGTGTAACAGACAACATATAATGAATTTCCTCTTGAGGAGTTATAGTTAATCATGAAAATGGCCCCATGCTAGTCTTGGGGGGAAGTGTGTGTGTGTGTGTGTGTGTGTGTGCGCGTATGTGTGTGTGTGTGTGTGTGTGTGAGAGAGAGCGAGAGGTGGGTGGGTTGGTGGGAGACTGCCAGTGGGCTGCATTGCAGGGTGTATGCTGAAGGGGCCTTCAGCGCTTCCAGATCAGGGAGTTTTATTAGCCCATATCAGAGCACTGCCACTTGTGATTTACATCTATGTGATGTCAAAACACACACACACACACACATATGTGCATGCACACACACACACAAATGCACGCAAACCTATTCATAAACACTGCTTAATGTGCACACTTGCACAAATAGCATAAGAGAGTAGGGACACTGCAGTGGGTCAAAGTGTGAACAACAGGGAAGGCAGATGGACAGACACAAAAGAGTAAAATATGAATAAAACAAATCTAAGTAATGGAGAGCCAGTGAAAATGATCACTGCAATGCTCTGTAGCCAGTTTACATAATGGCTTGACGTATTAATCAAGTAAACACAACGATAAATCTTGGTCAGAGAAGGACATGCAAAGAATGTGGGAGCAATACGCTTTTCACAGTAGGAAAATCAACACTGATAAGACTGTGGGAATAATCACAAAGAGGTATGACACTGGGTGCATGTGTTTGTGCATGCAAGGACACATACACACCCATACACACTTAGATTTCAAGAATCTTAGATTTCATTGAATACAAACTACTCAGAAGAGGATGGAGAACAGTTCATATTGAACGTATGAGTCTATTTCAGTAGATGGTAGCTGTAGCAATAGAAGTGTCCATTTAGTGTCCCTGCTAGCTCTTTCTATTCTTTAACCATCCAACAAATGGAATACCTAATGGCAAACTGAGTCAGTACAAGCATTTAATCAATGAGAATGAACGAGCTTCTGGAAAGTAAGAAAAAAAAATCAATTTTCATATACCGTGACTATTTTAAGAGAGCAGGGCTGAATGCGCTCAGCTGTTTATGCCTAGTCAGGGTGTCGACGAAAACAAGGGGCCTCTCTTCAATGCATGTAGCAAATAGAGAGCCGCTAATAGAATCTGGGATATAAATTTTCCTGTCACCTTCTCTACCTCCAAGGAGCCTCTTGGTCGATAAGGGAGAAAGATTGGGTTGAAAATTGATTTTCCAGAATAATTGCTATTCTCCTCGTCAGGGGGACTCAAGTGCTTTTTCCTATTACAGCTCCTGGCTCTCCAATTTACCTGCCCCGAGAAAATACATGAAAGGGCACAGCCTTTGGCCTCTGTAATCGTCAAGGTTGTGAAGCTTCCAGCAGATAAGATTTATGGTGAGTTCAGTGTGATTGGCTAGCGGTATTCTGTAGATTGATAAAGTTTGACCTTACGACACAAAACCTGACACATAAATGACTTGTTAACTTTTTATTGTCCTGTTGTGCAGCACAATGCGGGCTAAATGGACTCTGCTTCTGTAGATCTCTTTGCAGAAATGCTCTCCTCGTGTTAATGTGACAGATATTGACACAAACCCACTCCTGTTTTGCCGACAGCAGCCTGTCATTATGCTGCATGTGTCATCACCACTTTGATCTCCTGTGTCCCTTTAAGCAGCAACAAACAGGCCATTTGTAAGGAGGGTGATTAGACAGAGTTTTACTGAGCCAGATCTAATTCCCCGTAGCTTAGCCGGTACCTGGTCCAGCCCTCCTGTGGCTGATCTCGTCCTGTTGTACCACCCAGCTAACATTAATAACAGCCATTTATCTGAAGTAATAGCATGACACTGGAGCCAGTGATGTGCATAGCCTTCTCTATGCTATGCCTGAACCAGACATGGTGGCAAGAAGATATTTGGAAGCATTTCAAAGGCCAGTTGAAGACTGCCAGACATCATTAACTGCCTCAAAAGTAAAAACATTGCTTTTAAAATAGCTCAAGTTAAAACTAAAAGTAGAATCACTCATGGTTTTATTTAAACATTTGACATGAACTCAACAAACACTGTATCTTGCCTGTGACTGGTCTGTGCAAAGAGCAAAAGCAGTGCGTATGTAATAGATGCCGGGTGAGCATGGAGCTGTGCTTCATTATTAGAGATGTGCGGTGTGTTGCATTGTAACGTGTCATTGTGTGGAACAGGGGGAGTGATTCCCTAGCCCTCTGTTTTCCTGCATAGCATACTTGGCTGCCATATAAAGCCTCCTCGCTTTGCTCCAATGTACAAAACCCTATTGTGGTTTCCCTGAGATAAGGAGAGAGGGTGAGAGACTCCTCTGGAGGCGCCAGGCCTATCTCCTCTATCTCCTCCAGGGAACATGCCGGCATTCCCAAAGACACTGGTGCTAAGAGCCTCGTCGCCCTGCTGCCCTCTTCATGCGCACACAGGAGAAGGAGACGTAGAGATTTATGTCATGGTAACCCAATCTCTTCCCCTACTGAACTCCCCGTCTCCCCTGACTGCCTGTGAGAACGAGGGAGAGTTTAAGAGTGGAGGGAGACGCTGAGGGCTGCTGATGTTTTTGCAGAACAGAGGTGGACTAAGGCAGACACAATGTTCTCTTTCTGTTGTTTCAGTCTGATATGTGTGGGATGCGATTTGTATGTGTCTTCATAGCGCTTGTAAGTCTGTGTATGCATGTATGTGCACGCATTAGTGTTTGATATCTGATACCAGTGACCCTAGTTTATTTGGGACTGAGTGGGATTGACTCCCACGGATGGCTATGAGAAAAGATGTAACGTGATAGCAAAAAAAAAAAGAGGAGGTCGTGTAAACACATTCACACATAGACACACAGTCACTCACGTGGTAACACATTTCAAGCCAATATTCACACAGTTACATTTTTAGGATGCCTTCCTCATGCTCTTTTAACATTTTTAACATTCACCAGATTTTTTATTTTCATCGAGAAAACGACTGAAAAAAACAGTGCGAAAAAGTTGAGACTTTACAAACTAAACAGATGCTGTGAACAAGTTGTAAAGCCAACATGAAGATTGCACTACTTCTTCCTACCCATACCTATTAGAATTCAAAGAGTCAACAATGTAGTGTAGGTGTACATAATGGATGAAACACAGAATGTGACATCTCCTTGAATTCACAGGTTTAATATTTCATGGTTTGGAGGCACACCTGAGAGCTGAACATATGACTCAATCAAAACTTAATGTGGAACATGCAATATGCTGAAATGATGAAGTCAGGGGGAGGAGGAGACTGAATTACTGCATCAAGGATGACAGAGATGGATAGTAAAACACTGAACTGCAGTCACTTTTTATTTTAAACTTTCTAAAAGATTTAATCCTTCTCTGTTTAAAGAACAAATTAAATGAATGTGTGTACTGCATTTCCTGTATTTGTTTCTGAATCTACCATAACTCAGTAACAAATACAACACAAATGCACTCAGTGTAACAAATTTCAATCCAATTCTCTAGAACCACAGAAACAGGAAGTTTCACCTGCACAAACTGCGAGATAGAGAGAGACTCAGTTAAATTAGACTCCACAGATTCACTCTCACCTCCGCAGCATCTAGCAAACATGTGTCGAACCCACCAGGAGTCGGCCTTATGGAGATGTGTGTATGTGCGTGGTATTTGAGTGTGGAAGGAGGCCTTTCCTGCATGTGTGTGTTCGGCATGACGTGGCAACCCCCTGCCCTGTTCAAACACGGTGTTGGCTGTGCAGGCAGCCTCATCGTCAGGCTTGGCTTGCCACTGGTACACGCTGTGCCTGGCACCCTGCGGAGGGGGAAGGAAGGAGCACAGCGGAGCCAGGCCGCCTCCAACACCTCTCCCACCGAGCCAAAGGCCCCTCTGGTGGGGCTCTGAACATCAGAACAGGCCCAGGGAGAAATGATAATGAGGACCAAGACTGTGCTACACAGGATAACACGTAGGGACGCCATCACAGGTTTTAAACCACACACACACACACACACCCAAACATAAACATGCAAATATAGAAACATATGCGCACAAGCATGCCTGCTCATAATCAGGCTGGCAGGGATGCAAACAATCGAACACACACACACACACACACACACACACACACAAACTTGCAATCTAGTTTAGGTGGAGACTTGG